CATGTTTTGTACATATTTTCCTTCATTTCTGTCTCACTCATGCTCTCTTTTCTTTCTCTCGCTTTTTATTTTACTTCTTGTCTTTGGTATATGTCTTTGACTGGATGCCACTCTCTCTCACTCCTATTCAGTTCAGTTTCAGTTCATTTATTCCATTACATTTATTTCCATAATATGGACATAAGTATTAAATACCAGTTTTTCTGTGTCTTTTTCTCATGTGTCCCTTATCAGCAGTGCCGGTGTCGTTCCCCCTGTCCTCTTTGTCTCTGCAGCCGGCCGATCAGAGGATGAGGGCAGTTTTCCTCAGGTGTAAGTATTCCCTCTACTTCTAAAACTCTCTCCATCTCTTCTTTAATCTTTTTCTTTCTCCTTCGTTTACTCTCTCACTCTCTGGTGCACCCATTCACTATGACCATCCTGCATGTCATTCCCCATTTTGCTCTCCTCTTCTCTTCCTCTGACCCTGTTTCCTCCTCCTGTTCCATCCTTTTCTCTTTCTTATTTCCATGTTTCTAGTTCAACAGTTAAAAGGGACCTGTTCGGAAATGTGAGAGCCCATTCTGGGTCCTCATCAATGATTGATGGCTATCATACTGTTTTTGTAACATCCATGTCTGTCATTAAGACCAGTGTCGTGTCCCAACAGAAACAAGTCAGCTGACGGGATGACAGCGTACCATTGCCATGTTAGGCATTAATAATTCATTTGGTCAGAGGTGGATTAAGGCCGTATGTGTCGTTTATCCCCCCTGTGCCAAAATGTTAGCTGAAAGCCTGGACGGCTTAATTAACATCTGTTGGTCAGTCTGTGTCCCACTCAACTCATAAAATCTTTCTTTCTTCTCTGTTTCCCTTCCTCCAGTTTCATGTCATCTATCCTTGGACCCTGATACAGCACACCCAACCCTGGCTCTCCTGGAGGGGCCCCAGGGTGCCCACTGTGGCGAGGAGCCCCAATCCTACCCCCCTCACCCGCAGCGCTTTGATTCAGTGGCCCAGGTCCTGTGCAGGGAGGGCCAGTTTGGTGGCGCCAGCTACTGGGAGGTGGAGTGGAGGGGCGGGGGATGGGTTGACATCGGTGTCACCTACCGAGGTATCGGACGCAAAGGTGGCGGAAAGCCCTGCCTGCTGGGGCGCAACGAGAACTCTTGGCGGATGAGGTGTACACACGCTGGATATGCTGCATGGCATGACAACCGCAAGACCACGGTGGCTGCACCGCCCTGTCCCAGAATCGGTGTGTTCCTGGAGCGCCAGAAAGGAGCGCTGTCCTTCTACAGCGTGTCGGACACAGTGGTGCTCCTGCACACCTTTCGTTGTCCGTTCTCTCAGCCGCTGTACCCAGCCTTCCGCCTGGACCTGGACTCCACGCTGCTCATCTGCCCCAATGAGGGAGGCAACGGACACCCAACCTAACCTTGCCCCCCACTCCTCACCCAGGACCCTACATTAAAATACTGCAGAAAAGGGCTGTTGGTTGGTAGAAGTTGCTGGTGCAGGAGCAACAATATCAGGAATCACAGTCAGGAATCAAACCCTTTTCTTTTTCTATACATATCTTTTTGCATAGTCTCTCCTTCTGTAAGTGTCTCTCTCTCTTTTTTTAATCATTTTTCAAAAAATGTAAATACCCTTTTGGATCACAGGCTGAGCTGTAAAGCATATATGCATTTTTCACAGCAAACATTAGGGCTTGTCATTGTAGGAAAAGCACAGGTGTTACTAATAACATTATCAATGGCTCTGTTCTGTCCCAGTAAGCCGTGACAGTGTGACAGTGTGACAGTGAGTCAGCATGCACAACATCAGGACACTGAGACTGAAACAGCTAAATGCAATATTCAGCCTCATTCATTTCTTTTATTTTCACCTGTGCTTTTCCTACTCTGACATGTTTAAATCGCTGCAGTGAAAAAGAATTCAGTGCACATTTTCTGAGCAAAGATATGGATAGAAACATGTGAAAACCATCTGTTCTTGAAAAAAGTATTCACCCCGGTTTGTGTTTTTAACATTGTTTACTTTGTACTAAAAATTAGTTGTAAGTACATTTATGGGAATTTTTTGTACATTGTTTAAGTATCAGAGGGTGGCTTTCTTATTTAACTACTTGAATACCCACAGCAAAAGACTTCTTCATCAACCTCACTGCCATGGGAAACCTGCAAAAGTGACCTCAGCATCAGATTTAGACTAATAAAAGGCCATATTGTAGCAATTTTCTTTATTCTTTGGTCATCTCTGACATGTTATTGATGCTGTTTGAGGTCATTTTCTTTTATGTGGGTGTGTTTTTGTGAACACTGCATTGTACTGCATTGTCTTTTAAGTAGAATACCTTGAATTAAAGTAATCGTTTGATATTTGGGAAATATTATTATTTGCTTTCTTGCTGAGAGTTAGATGAGAAAAATGAGACCACTCTCCTGTCTTTACATTAAATAAGATACCACCAGCAGCCGCTTAGCTTAGCTTAGCACAAAGAGTGGAAACAGGGGAACCAGCGCTCAAAGGTCACAAAGTCCAGCTACTGTTTCCAGACTCTGAGCTAAGCTGAGCTAGGCTAAGCTATGTAGCTGCTGTTGGAGGCTTCATTTTTACTGTACAAACATAAGAGTTGGTGGGGCGCCCAGGTAGCTCACCTGGTAATTCCCAAAATGTTGAACTATTCCTTTAAGGCTGCATTCACATTGCAGGTCTTCATTCTCAATTTTAAATTACTGTTAATTTCAGTTTTTTTATATTATCATATAATATTTGTGTCAGTATATAAGTAATATTCAGTAACAATTTGCGATTACATATTACATACATGCTAATGCTGAATGTTAAAGCCACCACAACCTGGCAATAACATGGTGACCCATGGTGAATGATTTTAAATGTACTTACTGTCATTGCAATACTGGTTAATTATGTTTATCAGAAACGTGCTTTGCATGCTTTCAAATCCAATCCTATTACTGTCTCATATCCAATCATATCTAATCCAGTCCAGTCTTATTATTATCTTATATCATTCATGGTTAGAAAAATGTTACTTTAAACTGTTCACATGAATAAAAGAATGTCAGGTGTTTAAGAAGAATCAGAACAAGAACTTAAAGAGTCTGCCACTGTTTCCCTTGACCCCAGTATCCTTCTGGAAACTGTTTGATTGTAACGTTACTAGGGATAGGGATCCACTTGCAATGCTAGTTGTAACTCGATGTTTGGAAGCCATACTGTATGACATTGTCTTCCTATGCCTCATTGAAGTTTTGGTTTTGAATGGTGCTATTCCAGAGGAGTGTGATCACTTGACCGAGCACTGTGTGAGGCTTTTAAACCAAACTATTTGTGAAATGAAAATGTCACACGTGGATAAACTATTTTAATTCCAAAGACACAGCAACATCACACAAGTACATAGAATCCAATTATTGACTTTCTTTGTGAAACATTTTTCGAGGGCACATTCAAAACTAGAAATAAAAAACAAGAGCTTCATTAAAAAAATAACATATTGCACATATTACTAACAGAAAGCCTAAAAGGTATTACATCTATGCTACACAATACCTTGAAGTTACAATTCCACACAGGCATTTCTGGATTTATCAATCCAAAGTTAGAAACTATTTTTTTTGCCATGAAGTGCATTATTCCACAAGCTGTAGGGCTGACAGGAACTGAACTGTCCATGCTGGTCTGTAAAATTTTATCTTGTAGCATTGTCTCCACCTGTTTACTCACTGTGCTTTAATTACTGTTCCTTAATGTGACTGTAAAATGTTGTAATTGTCTGAGTGTTGCTTTTTCCGAGGTGAGTTCATTCCACCTTGGCTTGCAATAAACTGATCTATGGAGGTCCGAATTTGCGGGTCTGAGACTGTTTTCTATTGTGAACCTGAAACATTAGTACACGTTCACAAGAATTTATCAGTGAGAGGCGTTGTTACCACAGCTAAATACTGCCTTTATTATGCACTAAGCTTAAGTTATGGTAGTGTTGATCCAGTAATTGATAACAGTATGATCAGTTTTTGTACTTTACATCTAAGAAAACCCTTTCTCATAAAAAAGACCTTAATTTAAATTAAAAAAACAATAGGATAGAATACTGTGAATCAGTAATGCACCCTCCTCTAAATACATTATGTGTGGTGTCCCACAGGGCTCTACTTTAAGCCCCATCTTATTCTTACTATATGCTTCCCGTCATTTATTATCAACAGCCTCAAATTCTTTTCACTGCCATGCGAATAACATTCAGATGTGACTTCTTTTAAACCCCCAAAAACGTCAACTGTCTTGGAGAAAGTGTGTTGTTGTTTTTTTAGATTTATTACCAAAATCCAGGGATTCTTTTTATGTTTTTGTTATGTTTGGGTTTTGTTGCCTTTGACAGTGAGTATAGTGAGATCGGGGAGGACAGTTTAGATGGTGCGAGGGTTGAGATAAGTTCAGTTGACATAAAAAAATAATTGACAACAGATTTGGAAATCAGTTAGTCATGTAAGTAATTTATTACACCAAACTGCCAAACATTTTCTGGTTCCTATTCCCCAAATGTGTCTAGATATAGGCTATTCAATTGGGGTTTTTGGTTTTTTTTTTAACCCCCCAAAACAAAACAAAAGTTAGATGTACACTGTGACATTTGTTTTACCAGTTATGATTAACTGATTAATCCTTTATAGTCGCTTGAATATTTAAAAGATCAATCAATTGCACAGCCAGCATTTCTAATACATTCCAAATATGTTTGTCCACAAATGTATGTTCTGCCATCAACACCATATGGTTTGGTTTGAGTATGTTTCACTATGAGTTGACAAAAACACTGTGAGGTGAGCAACTACAAATAATGTGGCTTAGCCTCCGTGTGCCTGCAGAGTTTGGTCCACGGTGCTGCCTGACAGTCTCAACCGAGGGAACAATACTCCCTCTAGTCTTGTCACGTGAACCCGCTGCACATAAACAGATGTCATATGATTTGAGGTTTATTTTCCAACATGGCGGCCAGGTCGCAGCGGCTGGTCGTCGCTCTCCTGTTCATCTTCAGCGGCGTTTTAAGCTTTCCTCTCGGCCAGGAAACCAAACCGACTGCAACCTGCGGATACGAGGTCAGCTGTGTTTACGCTTCTGACATTTTATGAGTGTATTTTATCTTTTTAACATCACAACAGCTGGATTAACCAGAGGTTTACTTTCAGTTTCACACATCCGCCTTTCTGCTTGTCACTTGTTTGTTTGAGGAACAGAGATTAAAACTGAAAGATGATTTGTGTCTCCTTTTATATATATATATATATTTTTTCTGTGCTGACTTTGTTTGTTTGTTTGTTTGTTTGTTTGTTTGTTTGTTTGTTTGTTTGTGTGTGTGTGTGTGTGTGTGTGTGTGTGTGTGTTTATAAAGTCTGTCATGCACCCAAGCCAACATGCTGAGTCCACCTGGTGCCTCACACACATGATGATGTGGCTGGCTCAAGACTGTTGACAGTATTCTATGGAGGTCAGTCTGATAAACACACAACAAAACAAACAGTGATGGAATGGTAATCCAGTACTTTCTGTTTAAAAATTACCCTAGAAGTGTGTAAAGTAGTTAAAATTAGCTCAGCGTTCACTACTACGCTGTAAATGACATAACCACATTTATTATAGTAACAATGCTGACATGTTACTGTAACATGAGTGAGTCTTTGATAGCTTTAAGACAAACACTGAATTTATTTCACCATTTTCTCGCTTCCACTCTTTTTTTGGAGGAAATAAACCTTTATTTACATCCAGAAAGAACCGACAATGAGTACAGCTCTGCTTTTACAGGTGTGGAAGAAGGAAAAGTAATGTAATATGCATTTTATTCATGCACTTTGTTCCTTCGTTCGTCGTGTTAACAGTTTTGTCTCCTCTTTCTGGATAAAGGTGTGTTGGAAACGATCATGTCAGCTCCCTCAATTGCATTTAATGTCATTTGCTTCTGTCAGGGTCTTTACTAGCAACGTGGTGATAAAGGTTTTATAGTTTTTAAGTCGATTAACAATCATGTGTCTTTTTATAGTGGAAACGCAGCGTGTTCTGCACGGTGAGTGTCATCGTCTTCTTGTGTGTGGTAATAGCTAAGGCGAGATCATCTGCACTGTAAGATAGACAGATAGGAGTGTGTGTGTGGGGGGGGGGGTAATGTTTTTCAATATGTTACTGCAGTGTAAGCACAGTGTTTTGAATTTTAGGGTTAAAGCATTTTAAAATATATAAAAAATAATTAGTTTTGCTGGTGCCATGAAAGCATCTATACAATGACGAGGACTGAATCCTTACAGCTTCTTAAAGTTGTGATTCCTACGTTAAAAAATCTTGTCACTTTTGTCCTCAATCTGTTAGAGATGGGAGCTTATCAATTTCTTTAATTGATCCCAAACGAGCAGCACGACTATTATCGAGGGTAAATAACTTAGACAGTAACATTAGCGCCGTGCAGGAAACTTAAATGAAAACATTGCTGTACAAATATTCTCTCATTTCAAGGGGTGGGAATCGAGAACCGGTTCCAGTTGAGAACCTGTTCCACAATCAACAGTGGAGCTTTCTACACTGTGTTCATACTCTCTTGTGAAAAAAATACTGAAAAACTGCATAGGCCTGTTTCTTTTTTTATTGAGAATCGGACAGATATCAATAAAATCGTATCAATTCTGATCCCTAAAATCAGTGTGTGTTTGTCTATCTGTGTAGATCGTAATGACATCCAGCATGCCGGGGTGCAGTACATCCTGGACTCAGTGGTGGATCAGCTACTGAAGAATCCAGACCGGAGGTTCATCTATGTGGAGACGGCGTTCTTTTACCGCTGGTGGAAACAGCAGAGCTCCAGCATGCAGCAGACCGTCAAGAAACTGGTTAATGAGGGTACACGAATCAACCCTGTACATTTACACCAGAATAGTTACATTCCTGAGTTAATGGTTACATATCTGACTGAACTCTTCTCCCTGCCTTCCCCTCCCCCTGCCTTCCCCTCCCCCTTCCTCCAGGCCGTCTGGAATTTGTGAATGGCGGCTGGTGCATGAGTGACGAGGCCACCACGCACTACAGCGCCGTCATTGACCAGATGACCATGGGCCTGAGGTTCCTCAATGACACTTTTGGGCCTTGTGGTCGCCCTCGTGTCGCCTGGCACATCGATCCCTTTGGCCACGCCCGCGAACACGCCTCCATGTTTGCACAGGTAGTTTATCTTAAAGGAATAGTTAGACATTTTAGGAAGTACACGTCACTGTCTTGCTGAGAGCTAGTTTAGAAGTTGTGGTTTTTACAGAGGGGTAATGTGCTGGACCATTTCTTGCCTTGGCGTGAATGAGTCCTGTTGTCACCATGTGGTTGCCAAGCAAGTAGCGGAGACTTCAGGAACACTTTGGTTCAAACAAACAAGAAATAAAATGTTGACTAGTGAACTTTAAAGGTGCTGGTAGGCAGATTCTGTTTCCCTTTAGACTGAGCCAGTCTAGCTGTTTCCCCTTGTTTTCAGTCACGCTAAGCTAACCTAGCTTCCTATTTGCTGTACGGACCATAGAGCAGAATCGATCTTCTCATTTACTTCAAGAAAGAGACAACCAACATTTCCTTTAAGACAAATGCTACAGTATGTATTGCTTTAGCCTTCGTAAGCTGGAGGCCCTCCAGTTGAACATCCGTCCCTGAGCTTTCGACCGACCGTTTCCTGTGTATTTTGTTCCAGATGGGGTATGACGGCTTCTTCTTTGGTCGCCTGGACTACCAGGACCGGGCTCGCAGGAAGAAGGACAAGGAGCAGGAGCTTTTGTGGAGGGCCTCTGACAGCCTCACACCACCCATGGCTGACCTCTTCACCGGTAGCAAACCTCTGACACATACACAAATAATCCCTCTCTTCTATAATAAAAAGAAATATTTTTCCACTGGTATAATCTTTTTTTTTTTTGTAATTTGATTGAACTGACCCTTTAACCTTTGCCCTCTGCCCCCCCTCTCCTACCCAACAGGGATTCTTCCCAACGGGTACAACCCTCCTGAAGGATTTTGCTGGGACCAGTCGTGTGATGACCCACCAATCAGAGATGACCCTGACCTGGAGGACTATAATGTTGATGATGTGGTGAGGCGCTTCTTCGCCATCGCCAATAGTCAGGTTAGACACACACACGCACACACACACACACACACGACCACGCACTCTCCCTAACATAAACACACCATATCTCATAGGGGAATTTGTAAAGGATATGATGACTGATACGGACAGAAGTGAATTACAAGCTGCATTAACAGCCTACAGCCAATAAATACAACTGTTAGCAGTCACAAGATGCCAGCATTTAATATGACAAGAAATCAGAAAAACTAGCATGAGATGTTGACTGAGTGATATGATTTGATGTGCAAGTGTGGTACATTATCTACAAAAAATGCTCACATAACTGCTTTCTCATGTTTTTTTATTACCTCTTTGTAACCATTACTTCTCCTCATCTCTTTGCTATCTCAGGCTACAGTGTATAAGACCAATCACATTATTATGACCATGGGCTCAGACTTCCAGTATGAGAATGCCAACCTGTGGTACAAGAACCTGGACAAGCTGATCCACTACGTGAACGCCCTGCAGGCGAATGGCAGCAAAGTCAACGTGCTCTATTCTACCCCCTCGTGTTACCTTCAGGAGCTGCACAGAGCAAACCTCACCTGGTAGAATGAACATTATCACTTAATGAGATTATTGGAGTAACAGTATCAGAATTATACCCACAATAACAGTATAAAGAGCTGCCTTGTGTATTTTTGCTGCAACTTCATCCTCTTTCAACCCAGGGCGTTGAAGATGGATGATTTCTTCCCCTATGCAGACAACGCTCACAATTTCTGGACCGGCTACTTTACCAGCCGACCTGCACTGAAACGTTATGAGAGGATCAGCAACAGCAACCTGCAGGTAGTTTGAGTTTGAGGCCAAACATCGAATAACATTCATTTCAAAGTTACAACAGTTTAATCAGCCCAACACCGGGAAACTGCGCTCACACTCAAGATCCAGCTTAAATTTATCAGTTCATAACCAACAACCTCTTTCTCCACCTATCAATTATCAGGTTTACACCTCTTCGACCACGGCATTCTGTACCAACGTCATGATTGCCCATTTCCAAAGTGTATAAAAGGTTTAACTTTTGAACTCTACTACTTTTAACTTCTTTTTCTTTTAACTGTAACCATCTAGACTTTTAGTGTCCCTCCTCCAGAAACCCTGATCTGAATCCAGACCATTATGAATTCTTTTTATCTCTCACAAAAACACACACCATTTTGCTCACGCCCTAAAGCGGAAGATCCATTGGTACGTTCACAATCTAACCTCCCTGGAAAATAATGATACCAAAGTTATCAATTAACCAGCACATTCCCAACTCAAACGGTGGTCATGATCAGCCTTCTAATACAATTGTCTTATTATTTATGAAAGATCTACAGTTTTATCCATCAGGAAAGCCATTCTTTCTCACACCATTTTTACGCAAAGTCGCACAGAAAAGTCCCAACCACCACAAAACACTACCTCAGATGCTACTAACTCTTCAACATTTCAGTTTTATTTGAACTTTCACACTGCATGACTTTCCAACGGACCTATAAACTAGTGTACATTATTATTAATTCTACTGTATTTAACGATTTCGTACAGATCAACATTTTCAAAAACATGTTAATCCCACAGACCTTCCACTGAAAAAATAAACTGAAATGGGACTTTTTAAATAAGCCCAAATTTGATTGTTTAGCAAACACTTTATATAATCCTCCCCAACACAACAACATACGAAAAATAGAATTTAAATAGTAACAAATTCACATAATCAATTTTTCTTTATTAAAATAACATTTCAGTTCATTTTTTTGATTTCCAGAATGATCTGATTACACTTTTCTGAAAACACGTTTTCATCCCTACAGTAAAATACAAAAACTCTATACAGTTACAAATATAACTCAAAAATTATACATACAATTATACATAACGTTGACACAATAACCTTTATACTTCAAAACCTGACAAATGTTACCAGCCTTTTATCTACCTCCCTTTGCGATTTTCTACTTTCTCCTTTCCCGACACTTTTTTCTCATTTGTCTTGACCACCATCTCTCTTCACAACAATCACAGTGAACCTCAGATTTACTAATTACAAAGTACAAAAAAAAAAACTTTAACATTTTAACGTGCCTGACGTTATTGAATCACATGTTACAAAAGACTTTTCCAGCGAGTTAATAATATACGAAAATATTCTTCCCGTTACCAAGCCATAAAAATTTTTACTTTAAAATAAAAACAATCCATATCGAATAATCCCTCCGCCCCAACACCTCTGTTCTTGATGCTGACCACTAAGACCTCCAGCTTTTACCCAATCTCAACAATAACCACAATCCACATAAATCTATCCACCCATCCAAGTATTCCTTGTACACCTATTAGATATCAAAGAACATTATACATACAATGCTTTCCCATATCATTCAGACCCTACTAAATCCATCAACGATGAACAAATAACATCCAACATTCAAATTTCAACCTAATCTGACATTATATACATCTCCCACTTTACTATACATCTCTTCCAAAGTTTCCTAATTTGACATAATTTTATTTCATTTTCCTCAAACCAAAAACCGACCAGTTTCTTTCCACCTTCATCAACGTTTCAGTCATCGTCGTTAAACGGAAAAAACAAATAACCCACTCAACCTTGTCGATCTGTCTTCAACGGTAAGAGAAATCATCATCTTCAACTCCCTTGGTTGAAATATATAATTCACAAAAAGACACAAGCAGCTCTTTTTTAATACTGTATTTTTTTATAATCTATACTTTTACCCCAAATAATCTCATTTAATGATAATGTTCCATTCTACCATTGATTTGCCTCCCTTCAGCTCCAAATAAACGAGTTTTTATGAATAATCACTTATGGCTTCTTCCATGTCTCCCTGTCATTTCTGTTCACTACGGAGCAGCGTCCATTTCCTGTGCCACAACATGTGCATCTCGCATACGAACTCGAAGCTGAGCCATTTGTTCATAAAGTAATGATTTTTATACACTTAGCCTTAGATATCGCAACATAATGAGTAAAGTAAGTTTAGCATAATAGGTAAAAAAAAACATGAAAATATTTTGGATCAATTTTTTAAAAATTTACCACACTTTACATCGATATCATCACTCACCTATTCAACATTTCCAATTCATCTTTCTATGTCTTGCAGTATTAAATCGGCACTTTACTTCGAACACCATTTTAACTTCATGCTTAGCTGTTTCAATCATCCTAAGTCAACTTCCTGGTCCATTACAGTCATCATATCCTCTTCAAACGTCCCTAAATGTTGTTTTTACTACATATCCTTGTTTTTGTTTGTTGCTGCTGTCGTTTGCTAACCCCTGACCTGAGTCTCAGGTGTGAGAGGCGCGCGGCAACCCACAAGTCATCAACCATTATATCCGTCCCCATGAGGCACCTTTTCTCAATCACACACGTCCATCAAAATCCTTCAAGACGTGGGGTACCCTTAATAACCCGCTTGTTTTTAAGTAATGGTTTAATGCAAATACATAGTCACGCGTCAACAACACCCCAACAACAAAAACACCACAGAAAGGTATACGCCATTTCAAAAAAGGGTTCCTATGTAATCAGACCCATCGTGCGATTTTCTATGCTGTCAAGTTTGTCTACTTGAAACTCACCATGTTTTGGCTTTTTATTCGCGGTCAACCCTCCACAAAAAGCCCTCCACGCCTTTCTCTTCTTCCTTCGATCGCGTTCTTGTAGTGCCAATCGACCCAGATAAGAACCGTCATACCCACTCGGAAAAGTCTCTCCTTCACACAACCAACCACTAGAGTATCAAAACACAGTAGGGATTCTCCGACATGGCTAATGGACTCTCTTCCTTCGACTACCAATTACGCCGCGCTGTCCCACACCATAAGAATAACCAAGAGCATCGACCGCCTTTCTTAGTTCCTCTTACATCCCTCCACAACACACCCATATTTCTTATCTTCAGACCGTTTATCAAACCTCTACACAACAAAGATTAACTTCCTCTCTTTCTCTAAGTAAAAGAAAAAATTTTCACTAACCCAT